TATGCTTTCTTCTTTATTTATATAAAGAAGAAAACATATAATCGCAAAGACAAAAATACTTATATCTCACGATCCACTGGGCCGATTTTAATGGTTTAACCGCCATTTTGATCGCAAGACACTCATATACAACTTTACTTAAGCGTTAAAAAGGTTTACTTAGTAAAGAAAAAAGGTTTGGTTGAAAAACTCCAAATTCAGAAATTTTAAAGACAAGAAAAAATTTAGTAAATATATTTTTACTGTTTACTATGTTTTGTCACTGAATCTGAACATGTTTATGAACCTGACTGAACCAAAACTTTAAGTTTAGGTTCAGTTCAGGTTCATAAATTCAAAGTTCAGTTCAGGTTTAGGTTCAATGATCTGCAAATTTGAAGTTCAGGTTCAGGTTCATTGAACCTGAACCTGAACTGAACTGAACCTAGGAACTCTAGTTTAATGTATCTGATGGATGGTTATCTAACTTTAAAAAAAGAAATTCTATTTCATTATACCAATGTAGAGGAGAAGCTGGCAGTGTACCTTTGGAGGATGTTTTGAATTTTTGTATAGAACTTCAGGATGTTCTTCAGAATTATGAACCTAAAGATATATTTAACTGTGATGAAACAGCACTTTTTTGGCGTCGTGAGCCAAACTGAACACTTGCACATGGTCCAGTTTTAGGAAAAAAAAAAAATCAAAAGATAGAATTACACTTATGATTACTTATAACTCTACTGGTGATGAAAAATTACCAATTCTTTTTATTCATAAACACCAAACACCACGTGCACTTCATGGTATTGAGAAATCTACTTTTCCTGTCTGGTATTATTGAAATAAGAAAGGGTGGATGCAAAGAAGTATATTTAAACATTTTTTAGAATGATTTAATAGTCGAATGAGACTTGCCCAATGAAATATTATTTTACTTCTTGATAATACATCATCGCATAATATAGATGATATTCAAAATTTATCAAATATACAGCTACACTTTTTACCTCCAAATACTATAGCTTATCTCCAGCCTATTGATCAAGGAATTGGTTATAGCCTTAAAGTATTTTATAATGTTTTTAGTTAGATTATAAATTTAATTTATTGTTTCTTATAATATAAAACTTTTAAAATAAACCCACTAGCTTTTTTTAATATAACAATATATACAGTTTTATTTTAATTTTTTAAAAGTATAGCTAATTATAAGAATCAATTAATTAACTTTACATGCCTTTATTTAATTAAGTTATATTTATTTATTTTTTTTATAGGCACAATATCAGCGTATTTTTTGCCAAAACCACATTGAAGCTTATGAAGACAATCCGACTCCTGCTAATATTACTATATACAATACAATCAATTTCATAGCTTAAGTATGAGAACATGTTATTGCTAGTACTATTATTCATAGCTGGGACAGAGCCGGAATACTTTCACCTAGAGAAAATTTTGATGATAACCTTACCTTGATGTCAGAAAAAACTGAAGAACAGAGTTAAAAGAAATTATAGACCTTATTGAACATTTACCAATTGATAATTCATTAGGCGCACAAAAATATATTGAAATTGATAGTTATGTAAATATTGAGGAAAATTTAACTGTAGATAATATTGTCAATTTAGTAAATGGGCAAGATGAGTGTGAATCAGAAAAAGAACAAAATGAAGTAGTAGTTAAAATTAGTAATACGATTGTGGAACTTGATAACTTGTTAAAATATATTCAGCAAAATGAGTTGGAAATTACTTTATCCTTAATGAAGGATTTATGTAATTTTAAAAGATATATAGCTTATTTGTGTAATGAAAATAGGAGACAATCTACATTAGAAGAATTTATTAACCTTATTGTTTAGAATTTTTTTTATTATTTTTATAGTTAGTAATACAAAGTTCTATCATGCCTATTAATTTATTTAAGAAACTTTATATTTGTTTAGCATATTAAATAAATGAAATTAGTTATTATTTTCTCTCTACTTAAAGATTCCTCTTGACTTATCTAATGAGTAACTGCACAACATTACCATGCTAAACTAGAAACAAATGAATATAAACTTAGTTTAGAAATTCCAATATAAAGCTTTAATTTGGATAAATAAATACTAGTCATATAAAACACAGCATAATTATATTGATGTGAGATGCTATAATTTAAACAAACAAGAAATTTTATAAGATTTAAGATGTATATAGCATAGAGTGTAAAATACTTCTTTAAAAGCATACTATGCCAGTTACTATAATTTTCTAATGCTAACCTTAATAATACATACTGCCGGAACTAATATTATAAATAAAAGTATGTATGGATCTGATTATATTAATCTGTATAATTTAGAAATATTCTTGGTGGATGATAATTATACAGACTAATGTGGATAAGAAGATAAATAAGATATAGACAGTACATATTAAATACTTAGACTAACAAATAATCGCTAAACTTTGAAACTAAGAGTGCTCTCAATGTGATTAGATAGCTACCAAGATAGCATATAGATACTACAATTAATTGAAACACTCCTTATTGTAATTTTGAAGATTTATAACATGAATGCAGATAATTAATTTTAGTCAATCAGAACAAGTCTATTACAAAAAAATAGTTAAAGTTTCTCTTAAATATATAAATTAAAGGTTGAAGCTTAATTATTAATATAGTTTAAGATTTTATTATTGCTGTAGTTATGTAATAATATTTATGCATTACTGTATTGGTATTATCTATTACAGCTTAAGATACAGTTTGAGTCATGCTCTAATCGTGAAACAAATTGCACTTTCTATAACTATGGCTTAATTTGTAGCTATGGCTTTAAAAAGCCTATCTAGTTGAAGCCGATACACTATGTTTAAAAAGCAAATTTTTTATTGTACTAATTAAAAAAAAATCATGAATATAACAATGCCCATTTAATACAAGATACAAATAACCTAAGGCTATACTCATTATTACACAGCATTTCTAATATATGCAAAATCCTACAAATCAGAAAGATGGATCATCTAATCAGATACAAAAGAGCTACTCTGCTTTACTTACCTGTAAACTATACACTACATACTTTGTACTCCATTTTTAGTATTCACAAGACTTATAGTATTGGTATAATGCTTTATCTTCCTAATATTAAACTTTGCATGCATAATGTTTACTAACTATCTAATGTATCAATCACATGAATTTTACTACTTCTAAGCAATATTCATAGAAATCATGTTGTATTGTACATTCACAATTCTAAATAATACAATTGTAAATTTTATCATATTATTTTTGAGTAATATACTAAAGAAAGACATTTTACACTTATCGGTATGTTTAATTATTACATGGCTAATGCTATAAAATTATATTAGACATTAATGTTTATAAGCAGACATCATTAATAAGTGCAGTATAAAACATCTCTAGTAGGTGCAATTTTATTTTCTTGATATAACAGAGATCTATATAATTTATTATAATATTCAATATATAATGAAATTTTGATATTGTGGAGCTTTTGATATAACAGAGTAAAGAGCTGAAACTATAGCCTCTATTATATCGAGAGTTACATGTATGAAATAAATAGAAAAATGCAATTTGTAGATTAATTTTTTGTATAACAAAAACAAAGCAAAATATTAGCATAATGGAAAGTCATTTTGATTGGCTGATGTAGTACAACTATCTCTTAAATTGTAACACATGCAAATTTGCCTGCGAAGATTTTTACTAATTTTTTTAATATTTAAATTTTTTAATAAAATTTTGAATATTAATTTTA